ACTGAGTTTGTCTCACAAGCTAGCACTCCTGTCAGACCAAAGCCCATCTCACTTCAAACAGCACTGCTAAGCTTCCCAAGTTATACTGAGGAAGGGAAAGAAAACATCTGAGGTAAGACAGAGGGTGTCTGGAATGCTTCTACTGTTCCTTCATAGCACAACAGGATCCAAATCCAAGAGACCCGAAGTAAAGAGTCCATCCCTTACAAGTCATGGTTCCCATCACTGTCTACCCTCCCCCCAATCTTTCAAGTCCTCTACAAACTCCATAAGAAGAAAGGATCATCCAAACATACAAGCAAAACGCTACATAGTTACAGCCTTGTTACAGGGCTTGGTAGCAAGCTGCTACAGATCAAGAAACTACTTATCCAAAAGATTCTCGTGGTATCTGCCTGGGTCTGGCTACCTTCCTTCAAGCAAGATTCATGCAGTTCCAAAGAACAGAGAAAAATATGCTTCAAGATAACTGCAGTTAAACTAGGAATTAGGACTATCCATTTAAGCCACAGACAAGGTCTTTGAAAGTGCTAATGGCTAACCGCTATACTGAATTTTTGAAAATATAAAGGGAAAAGGCAACAGCAGAAAAGGAAGATTAAAAAGATCTATAACAGCATAAAAGAGTTGAGACCTATGAATCTCACTATTTTTTGCTGCACACTTCATGCAAGTTGATTTTCTCTGCAGTAGTACTTTGCCGTAGAAGCCTGGAGACTGCTATGCTAAACATCAACATTAATTGTGCTAACAATATGGGGAGTCCAAACTTGATTCTGCCCTAGTTTGAAGGTTGCTGTATTCAAGAGAGTAGGTCTGATTAAACCCATTTCTCTACAATGAGTGAAGACTATGTTACCTAAAACAGAACTACTCAAGTCCTTGTAATAGGACATCTAAGAGAATTGCATGCACACTTCATACATGTCAGATTCTCACATTTCAAGTGCTCAGTGGCATATCCATTCCTCTAGCCACTAAGCCAGTATATTCACATACAAAAGTTAGTAAATACTGATACAGAAAGGCTGTTTTTTCTATTAGCTAAAAATAGAAGAAAATATCAGCTCATTAAACAGACAAGATTGATACAAAAAGGTCACTTTCCCTCCCACTCTTCCTTCCCACCAACTCAACTTTTTCTTTTCTTGGTAATAAATTCAAGTGATTAACTATAGGCTTGGACTAGCTGCAGCACAGCAGCTCATTCGCTTCTGTCAGGATTTGGAAGTGAGTGTGGCTTCCAGCTCTACCAAGCCAGAAACAGCTCAAGGGAGTGACCAGAGCACCAGCCAGTGGGTGCAAGATCAAGCCTACTCGTGGCCAATAAACATTCTCACAGGTGGGAGTGAGACTTCTCAGAGTTTGATAATGGCTTGCAGAAGGCTTTTTAGCACTCAAGCTAACTTCCACTCCTCTGCACTACAAGGTGGGAGGAGGAGAGGGAAGGGAATTATATGCCCTTTCATGTGTGCTTTAGCTGCTTATATCTTGCCGGCTTCTCAGAACTAAAAAAAAAAAAAAGTTATAAACAGGAGTTAGTTGCTTACCTATACCAGTACCCTCGATAAAATAATGAAGCTGAATGGATATTTCCTGTAGAGAGCGGCAGGATCTGTGGGCCTGTTCATAATGGACTTTCTACATAATCTCCAGCAACGAAACCCCCCATGCCTCAGTCACAACTGTGCAGAGATGTGCTTCACAATAGCAAGCCACGTGCCACTAGTTCAAAGGTTACCAGAGTTAATCTTGGATTTCTATTAATAGTGTACCAAAGCATAGTGCCACTTTGACCAAATCTCATGCAGCAAACTGGAAACCTCTATCTAGATGTGTTAACATTTAGCCTACTTTAATGAAGAGTAGAGACTCAGAACTCAACAGGTTTTGCTGCTCATACCACGGCAGCACCCGCAGCAGCATGTTCTGTGAGCTTGGTGAGATGAATGATAAGAGCTACCAAACACTTCAGACAAATGTTTTTCCTGCCCAGCCAGAATTGTTCCCTGGAACATTTCCTCCATCTGTCTTCTTCACAATGGATTTATTTTTGTGATGAAGCCCACATATAGCTACATCTAACTACTCAAGTTTCACCCATATTTGACCCTGGTTAAGGAAAGTCACTTGCATTTTACTATTTTGTTAATTAAGCAGCTATTAACAAATCTTAAGCTAGCACACTAGTGGTCATGTTTCTTTCACATAGAGAACTGATTACACAGTTATGCCAGCATTTCCTGTTCCTACAAACCACAGCTCAAGTAGTAGTTTTTAAAATATTATTTCAGTTGAGTCTGCAATTAGAGTGGATGAGACAGGAAACTGAAGACTACTGGTTTTTATAACAGGAGGCCTGCAGCTCTGTACTCCAGTAGACACACACATCTGAATAGCTTTCTGCAGGGTCCAGAGCATATGATATATAGTGTTAGCGTAAAGCACTCCAACTTCTTTATCTGCCCCAGTACTGAAAGCAGAACTACTCTGTAAGAACAAGAAAGCCGTAGACTGAACACAGGCATCCAGCCTAGGGTGTTGCCTCCAGATTCAGAGGCTACAGTGAGTACCTTGTAACACAGTGTCAAAACGCTTGGACTCAGCCTGTTAGTAGGGGAACCCTGCCCACCATGGCTCTCTGCAATATGTCAACATTTTCTGGTTGATTCACACTAAAAGAAGTCACTCATCACAGCTGTACTCTTCACTGGCTAAAAAGTCTCAGTAGCAGTTTACACAGAAGTCCCCTCATCTGAGCCACTTCCACTCTTTTTACTGAACTTTTGCCTTTTTTAGGAAGAGGTAACTGTTCACTAATCATTAGTGATGTCTGAAGAGACTACCTTTTTTAAAGCTTTAGAAAATATTGTCTTCTTAACCTTTAAGAGTAACTTGAGGTTGATATCCTTTAGGATGTCGATGTTTTAAAATACACACACATACACGAATGCACATGAACCCAGCTATTGTCTCAGAGTGCTGGCATATAAGACAGCAGGACAAGCAGAAATCAGTTAAGCAGGCACTTACTATCTATTGTAAAGTGATAAAATTAAACTATTTGTTAAAAAAAAAAAACAGGGTGGATTCTGTTTCAGCTTCCAGTTGTAGGGCTTTTTATTATTATTATTTTCTGTTAAATGTAAACTATAGACTCATAGTTTACATGTTAGATGTTCTTAAGCCATTTTGGACCATTCTTAGCGAGGAAATGTCCAGAGCCTTCCAGCCTGCTCCTTCCTGTTTTACCAATGAAGGGCAAGGACCAATTCTTTGATTCCAACCAGGAGAGATTAAAATGGAAAAACCCATGCTCCCTATTAGTCACTAAAGTCCTGCTAGAAAAGGGAGAGTCAAGTACAGACTTGACAAGACTTTCTGAAGTACCAACATCTCTGCAGCCAAGAAATACTTTGAGTCAAGCTGGGACAAGGCTCCCTAGCAACTCAAACAGACTAATTATGAGTTGTGAAAACCCCAAACTTGTGTTCTTTACAGACCTCACGAGAGGCAGCCATATAATTAATTAATTCCCACTGTGCCCTAGAAAGCTTTATCCAATATGCTTTTAAAAACCCCTCCTTAAGATCAGAGCTCATCAAGGAGCACACAAGCAAGCAGGATAGAAGGTGGTACTGGTGATGCAGGGACAGGGGGAAGAAAGTACCTCTTTATGAAGCAGAGAGAAGACGTTTTAGAGAGAACAAGCAGTTTCGGGAGGGGAGTTGCACAACTGCACCGTTAGTCAGCACCCCCCGGGCAGGGCGGGCAGCCGCAGCGGGACCCGGCGCCTGGCGGCCCCCC